AGTTGCCTAACATGTGCTCGCATGTGCGAATCCAAGTTTTCCCAGAACTGAAAAATAAAACAAAACAACCAAATTAGCCAGCAGCTCCCTGCTAATTGGGAAAATATAACTGATCAGCTGAGCAGCTTGACATGCTTTCTCATCTGGCCTAACCAAGTTCATCTCTGCCTCACTGGAGCTGGTTCACCTGCTCTCCCTCTTCATCCCCTGAATCTTGCCTCAGGCCTTAGTCTCTACTCTGCTGGTCCCTACCCAGGTTCTTCTTTTACTGATTTTTCCAGGTCCATTTATTTATTTATTTATAAGACAGGGTATCTGCCAGGCATGGTGGCACATGCCTTTAATCCCAGCACTTGGGAGGCAGAGGCAGGCAGATCTTTGTGAGTTAGAGGCCAGCCTGGTCTACATAGTGAGTTCTAGGACAGCTGGGGCTAGAGGGAGACCCTGTCTCAAAAAGAAAAAAAAAAAAGATAATTCCAACCAAAACAGGGAGCTGAGAGCAGTACACTTAAAAATGCTCCTGAACGTCAGACTTAGATTTTAGGTTTTGGTATGTATATTAAACATAGTTTTTTCCAAAACCCTGGACTCTAAGAGGAAATTGATAACAGCAATGGAAATTAGCCATGCTGCAGCATTCAAATATAAAAGATGAACTTACAGTTCCATACAAAAACCTTGTACTATATTTTATGTTTTGTAAATACTGTGTGCCATGTATTATGTGTATATTGTTCATACACTTGAGAGGTACATTATAGTTTTGTTATGAAAGTATGTATTTGCCCTGCCAACATGGTGGGTATTTTTTATATATACAGTGGAGAAATTTTAAGTGGATTCTAAGGCACATGGAAGATTGGTTTATTTGAACAGGTAACAAGATTGAAAAAAAAAAAGTAGAGGGCTGGAGAGATGGCTCAGCAATTAAGAACACTGACTGTTCTCGCAGAAGACCCGGGTTTGAATCCCAGCACCCACATGGCAGCCAACAACTGTCTGTAACTCCAGTTCCAGGGGATCGGACAGCCTTTTCTGTCCTCTGCGGGCATTGCACAACACAGGTGCATTTACCTACATGCAGGCATAACAATCATACACATAAAATAAAACTAATAAAATATTTTTAAAAAGAGAAAAAAAAGAAACAGAAACAGCTATCAAATCTCAAACTAAATGTGAACAATTTACTAATGCACTACTGAAGCCTAAATCTGGGGCACAATCATTGTGAACATGGGATTTGTCTATATTTCTCTAAATTGATCTGTAATTATTAGAAAACTATTACCATTTCTACCAAACTCAGTTTCTGGTTATTGGTATATAGCCATTACTGAACTTTAAAATACCTCTTATTTAATGCCAACAAAATTGGTTGTAATCAAATTTTAAAGCAATAGGAATTTGGCCTCCCCTTTAAAAAAAAAAAAGAGTTGCAGGTGGTTGTGAGCCACCTAACATGGGTGCTGGGATCCAAACACGGATCCTCTGAAAGAGCAGTATTCGTTAACCACTGAGCTATCTCTCTAACCCCTTAAAACTTTTAAAATGTATTTGTTTATGAGGGTGGGTGGGGGTCATGCACGCCATGGCACTTGTGTGGAGCTCACAGCACAACTCACAGGAGTAAGTGCTCTCCTTCTACCCTGTGAGTTCTGGAGAGCAAACTCACATTGTCAGGCTTGGCAGCAAGTGCTTTTACCCACTGAGCCATCTTGCCAGACCATGGACAATTCTTAAAAATCAGAGATTGGACTGTGGTGAGTCACCTGTCCTCTTGTTCAGGGAGGCCATGGATACCCAACCAGGTAGACTTGAACCAATGTCCAGTCTACAAAGAGGAGGGTCAACACAGAGGAAACATTTCCTCCATGCTTCCAAGTGAAGCCAGCCACGGTCGAGAACAGGACGTTTGACTTATCCTCATATAGATGGAACTGGTAAAAGAAAGGAGCCAGGGGCTCCTCCCAAGCCCATGTGACTTCTGAGGATCCTCAGAAAGATCCTCAAACGACCTGAAGAGTAAAAATAAATTGGTTTGTCTGGGCCAACTGTATGGTCTCAAATACTCAAAAGGAAAGTGTAACCAAGGATTAAAGGGATCAGTATATTTCTTTAAGAGTCCATGTGTGTAGGTAAAGGCTACACGACAAGAAACAATGCCAGACAGGAGTTACCTTCCTTTGAGTTGTTGGCCAGGGTGGCCCAAAAAACTCCCAGACAGGAACCCAGCACAGAAATGGAAAATGAACAGCAGATCCCAATCTTGTCTAAAGGAATGTTGGCAACTGATTGGTGCTAGATGAGGAACAGCTGATCTTCCTAAAACAAGGGACTCTAGATAGGCTGACTAGACTCAGTGGATGGACTTGCACTGGGGAATGGCTGGGGGCACTGACAACACAGTGGACAGTAAGAGGGATGACAGAGTATATGGGCTCCAGTGGGGGTGGGGGAGGTTGCCATTTGAGATATGGGTATAAAGATGAATAAGATTGTTCGGGATGTTCTGTATGAAATGCACACACACAAAATCAATTAAAACAAACAAACAAACAAACAAACAGTGATTGACCTTGACATACACAAATGATGGGAGTAGTAGACCAGGATTTTCCACAAAGCACAATTAAGCAAAGAGAAAAAATGTTCATAATAAATAGAGAAAAACTCAGCAGAGCCAGGGTAATTGTGCATGCCTGTAATCCCAGTCCTCAGGAGGTGGAGGCAAAAGGATTACTGGATAGGGAGAACTTGTTTCAAACAAACAACAACAACAAAAAAAAAAGGGAACATTTCAAGGAAGTAAAAACTAAAAACAAAAACTGAATGGAAATTCTAAAACTAAAAAATATGTTATCTAAAATAAAAACAATGTACTAGGGGAGGTTCAGCAGCAGAGTGGGGATGATAAAGAAGACAGTTGACTATGAAGACAGATTAATAGATGTTATAGCTGATGAACAAAGTGGAAAAATGCTGGTCACTATCCAAAGATTCATAAAAGAAGTTCTTGAAGTCTCAGGAGAAGAGGGAAGAGCAAAGAAACTTAAATAATACTTTAAAAAGTAGCTGGGAAGCTGGGCATGATGGTGCATGCCTTTAATCCCAGTATTCAGGATGCAGAGATAGGTGGATCTCTGTGAGATTGAGGCCAGCCTGGTCTATATAGTGAGTTCCAGGCCAGGTGGGGCTACAGGAAGACCCTGTCTCAAAATACAAACAAACAAAAAACTCACAGAACACACAATACTATATGTTCCTACTTAGGTGAGGTAGTGATAGCTGAAACTTTAAATCAGAGTCTAATGGTAGTTGCCAGGGCTGCCAGAGATGGCAAAGGGGGACTGCTACTTAGTGGATACAGGCTTTGGAGAGCTGGGATTTTTTGTTTGTTTGTTTGTTTGTTTGTTTGTTTTAATAGAAAGAAGAGTTAATTTGAGCTTACAGTTCCAGGGAATTAGTCCATCATGGTGGGGAGGTTGGGCGGCAGGAGGTGGCAGGAACAGGAGCAGAAGCTCACATCTTCAAGCAGGCATGGGAAGCAAGAGAGTCGGGAGAGTATTTTTGGAGGGTATTTTTACTTTGTTTTTTGAAATGAGGTCTTATGTCGTCCAGCAGGCCTATGTAACAGAGCTGGCCTTGCACTCCAGATTCTCCCCTCTGCCTCCCAAGTGCTGAAATCACAGCTATGTGCCACCATGTCCAGCTTTTTTACTGTTACTGTGAGACAGGGTCCAGGCTGGCCTTCAACATGCAGTTCTCCTGCCTCTGTCTCCTGAGTACTGGGATTGTAGGCATGTGCCACCGTACCTGGCTCTTACTTCATCTCACAGCTGGTTTCTCTTCTAAGCCTTGTCTTGTATTTTCTAGTCCCCCTTTCCTAACCTTTCCAATGATCAAAACAATCTGAGCAATATTCCGTTTCCATTTGACTTTGGTCACATTAACTGCTGGGGGTATAAGTCCAAAGAGTAAGCTTCATGAATGAGTGTGTGTTGCTGTCAGGAAAGCTCCTTTATCACCAACAAGTGTTTAGACAAAGAGCAAACAGGTTATCATGTGGTTAATGGGCAGAAGACAAAAGCTGAGAGTGTTTGTGTTTTGCTTTGTTTTGGTTAGAAAACTTAAAGGAAATTAACATAAATTACCTTTATTTTAGGAATCAAGAAAACAAGATGAATTTTTAAGTTATGTTAGAATCTTTCTGGGAAAAAACGGTAGGAAACTTCTGGAAAGTCTATATATTAGGAAGAAAACCTAAGCACAAACTAGTTTTAATAAATCTTCAAAGATAAAACGTTGGGTTGGAGAGATGTCTCAGTGGTTAAAAGCACAGACTACTCCTGCAGAAGTCCTGGGTTCAAATCCCAGCACCCATATGGTGGTTAACAATCACGCATAACTCCAGTTCCAGGGGATCCAATGCCCTCTTCTGGCCTCCATGGGCAATGATTCAGGTGCACTTATATATATGCAGGCAATCTACTCATACACACACACACAAAAAAAAACCATTTTTTAAAAAAATTTAAAAAGGACAGTATTTAAAAAAAAAAAAAACAAACCCCACAAGCATCAGGTCATGGTGGCAACATGCCTTTGATCACAGCATATTGGGTGGAGGCAGGCAGATCTCTGTGAGTTCAAGGCCAGCCTGGTAACTGGCATGTTCTGCCATTGTTCCAGGCAACATAGTAAGATTCTGACTCAAGAAAAACCAAAACCCAAAATCCCCCAAAAATCAAACCAAAAAAGAAAACAAACAACAACAACAAAACAATAACAACACAACAAAGAGTTAATATGGGTAATGATTCAAGACCAACACATAAGACATAAGTGATAAGAAAAGGAGTCCAGCAATTTGTTCAGGAGACTTAAAGAAAACATCTCAGAGGCTGGGGAGATGGCCTAGTGGGTAAGAGTGCTCTGCATACCTGAGTTCAAATTCCCAGCACCCATATAAAAAAGCTGGGTACAGACTGGAGAAATGGCTCAGTGGGTAAAAGCACTTGCTGTCAAGTCTGACACCTGAGTTCAATTCCCAGGACTCATAATAGTAGAAGGGGGGAACCAACTCCTGAAAGTTGTCCTCTGACCTCTACACAAATGCATGGCACGCACGCGCACACACACACACACACACACACACACACACACATCGTGTAAAAATAAATAAATAAATAAATAATAAATGTAATTTAAGCTGGGCAGAGACAAGCAAATCCTGGGACTCACTGGCCAGCCAGACTAGCCAAATAGCAAGCTTCCAGTTCAGTGAGAGATACTCACTAGGCACTAGGTGGAGAGCAACAGAAGACACCATACCTTTCTCTGACTCCTGAATGTTCACACATGACAACACACACCTGCACCCTCATGCACCATCACCCCCCAAACCATACACAAAAGACAGCCTTTTTTTTTTTTTTTTTGAAACAGTCTCCCTAGTGCCACAGCTAGTCTGGAACTCACTATGTAGACCAGGCCAGGCTTGATCTCACAGAGATCCACCTAATAATGCCTCCTGAATGCTGGGACTAAAGGCATGTGACACCACACCCAGCAAAAGGCAATATCTTGGAGAATGAACCTAGGACTTTGTGAATGCTAGGCAAGCATTCTACCACTAAGCTACATTCCCCAGCCATTCGTTTATTTTATTTTATTTATTTATTTATTTATTTATTAAATTTTCGGCTTTTTGAGACAGGGTCTCCCTGCAGCCTCAGCTGACCTGGAACTCACTGTATAGACCAGGCTGGCCTCGATCTCACAGCGATTTTCCATTACCATGCCTGACTACTAACAATCTTTTTTTTTTTTTAAACAATCCTTCCAAATACATTCCCTTCTTTTCTTCCTTGAGACAAGATCTTGCTAGTTAGTCTGGGCCAGCTTCAAACAATCTTTAGCCTGAGTACCAGGATTACAGGCATGTACCACATGTTTGGCCTTTTCCAAAAGTATTTTTCTTTTTTTTGTTTCGCTTTGTTTTTTGGTTTTTTTGTCTTTTGTTTTGTTTTGTTTTTTTGAGACAGGATCTCCCTGTAGCCCCAGCTGTCCTGAAACGCGATGTAGACCAGGCTGGCCTTGAACTCACAGAAATCCTCCTGCTTCTGCCGGGACTAAAGGCGTGCGCCACCACACCCGGCTCCAAAAGTATTTTCCAAGTAAAAATTTAAAAATTGGGGCTGATAAGATAGTTCACTGGGTAAAAGCACTTGCTGCACAAGCCTGCAGACTTAAGTTTAGATTCTCAGTACCCACATTAAAAAAAAAAACAAAGCTGGGCATGGCCATATGTGCTGTGAGGGCACATACAGAGGACTGCTGTAGCATCTATGAGCCAGATCCAGTGAGAGACCCCCAGCTCAAGGGAGTAAGACGGAGACCAATAAAGGAGGACACCCTAGGTCCTCTTCCGGCCTCCACATGCCCATGCACAGCCATATACATCCTTTCACACAGGTACACACATGCATGCAACACACACACATGAACACACTGAATGAATGAATAGATAAAATAAATGACAAATAAATAAATAAATAAATAAATAAATAAATAAATAAATAAATAAACAAACAACCTGGTGATGAAAAGCTCAGACTAGGCTGGGTGTGGTGGTGCACACCTTTAATCCCAGAACTGGGAGGTAGAGACAGGCAGATCTCTGTGAGTACAAGCCCAGTCTGGTCTCCATAGTGAGTTCCAGGTCAGCTGGGGCTACAGGAAGAAACTGTCTCAAAAAGACCAAAAGAAAAAGGAAAAAAGGAAAAGAAAAGCTCAGACTAGCCCATAATTTGTAACTTTCTAAACCATAATAAAAAAGTTATTAGTCATTCTAATAGAGCTAGTATACGCTAGGCTATAGTCTAAACTTTGTTTTGCAAACTAGCTGTTAAAACTTGGGGCACACTTCCTTCTAGGAGGAAATCACATATGGGGTTAGGTCCTAATGACCACAAAAGTTCATCAAATCCAGTTTGAACTTGAAGTACATTAGCAATAGCATTACTAAACTTCATCATGGATCAGGAAGTGCTTGGTGACAGATTTGGGGATACACTTTCCTATCTGAGAAGCTGTCATATGAGACACTGTCCGAGGCGATGTGTCCCTTAGGGAAGGTGTGTCAGGAGTGGTTGGGGTGGACTGGGAGGGTAACAGCAGACTAAGAGCTCCACAGGGCTGGGTCTCCCAGAGTTCTGCTCCAGATGCACCTGTACACTGCTCTCTACTGTCAGCAGCAAATTTTCACAGCTAACGTCTCTGTCGTGAGAAAGATGCCTGTGCTTGAGTTAGCTCAGTAACTCCTGCTCCCCTCACAGGTAGTTCCTACCTGCCTTTCCATCTGATGCTCTTTTTTCACATCAATTAGCTGTGTTTGAAGAGATTTTATCTGTTTTCTTCCTTCTTCCTCCCTAAAAGAAGAATGATTTGTGTTTAAAGCCAACTTTGGGATCGGCTGAACAGGAAAAAGAAGGTTTGGGGGCTGGAGAGATGGCTCAGGGGTTACTACTCGTGCAGAGGACCCAAGTTCAGTTCCCAGCACCCATATCAGATGGCTCACAACCACCTATAACTCCAGCTCCAGGGATCTGATGCCCTCTTCTGAACGAACTCTGCCAACATTTGCACTCGTGTGTGTAAACCCACATATAGGTACACATAATTTTAAAATAATAAAAATAAATACTTTTTTAAAAATCAGGCTTTTGGTTTGATGAGATGCTCACTAGATAAAAGCACTTGCTACCAAGCCCAATAACATGAGTTGGTACCTCAGGACCCACATGGTGGGAGGAAAGAACCAATCACATAAGGTGTCCTCGGACCCTCATGGAGTACATGTGCATATACACACACAGACACACACACCACAAACACACACACAAACATATTAAATAAATGGAATGATTAATTTTTTGTTTTAAATATTTTATTATTTTATTGTATGTGTATGAGTGTACTGCCTGCATGTATGTAAGTGTACACATGTCATGCATTGCCCACGAAGTCAGAAGAAGGCGTCAGATATCCTGGAAATAGAGTTACAGATGGTTGTTATCCACCACATGAGTGTTGGGAATCAAACTTGGGTCCTCTGCAAGGGTAGCCAGTGCTCTTAACTGCTGAGCCATCTCTCCAACTCCTGTAGTAATTTTTTGAAAAGCAGGTTATCATTCCAGGATTGGTGCTGCCAATCTGTAATCCTAGCACTTGGGAGGTAAATGCTGGAAGATTGAGAGTTCAAGGCCAGCTTCAAGGTGCTTAGCAGTTCAAGGCCAGCCTGGACTACATGAGACACTGCTCAAAAACCGAATAACAAAAAAAGTAATTGAAAGTCTGACAAAGGAGCAAGATGAGGGCCAGTGAGATGTCTCACCAGGCAAAGGTGCTTCTACCAAGCCTGAAGACCTGAGTTTGATCCAGAGACCCATATGAGGGAAGGAGAGAACTGACTTCTACAAGTTGTCCTTGGATTTCCACATGCATGGAATCGTACACCCTAGTACCATGCACGCGCGCGCACACACACACACACACACACACACACATACACACACGCTAAATATAAAATAAACAAAATGTCCTCACTGCCCTCACTGCCCTCATTGTCCTCACTGCCCTCACTGCCCTCACTGCCCTCACTGTCCTCACTGTCCTCACATCCCTCACTGTCTTCACAGCCCTCACTGCCCTCACTGTCATATCTTCTCATTGCCCAGCTCTCCTACATGAAGTGCTATCCATTTGTGAGTATCCAATCAGCTCCTGGTACTTCACTCTTAAACAGAAATGAACAACCATTGAGAAACCAACACTGAATAAACAAATGTTTCACATTAAAGACAGAGATGAAGGGGCTGGAGAGATGGCTCAGCATTTAAGAACACTGGTTGTTCTTGCAGAAGACCCAGGTTCGAATACCAGCACCCACATGGCAGCTAACAACTGTAACTCCAGTCCCAGGGGATCCAACGGCCTCTTCTGACCTCCACGGGCATTGCACAACACGGGTGCACTTACTTACATGAGGCAATACGTGCATACACATTAAAAAAAAAGACAAAGATGAAAATGCTTTTGTGAGGTAAGTAGCTCAGAAAACAGAAACAATGGCAGGAAGAAATCAAAACTAGAAACCTAAGGCTCGAAGGCGCTAGGGAGTGGCTTAGTGCCTGGGTACTCTCTCTGCCCAGGATCCTGGGTTCAGAAAGCAGGGGAGTGAGAAGTACAGCTATAGCTACTGTTTTCAACGACATACAAAAAATACCAACAGGGCCTGGTGGCACAGGCCAGTAAGCCCAGCTATTCAAATGGCTGCAACAGGAAGATTACTAATTCAAGGTCTGCCTGGGTTACACAGTGAGCTCAATGCCAACCTGGGCAACTTAGTGATTCTGTCTGAAAGTTTAAAAAGCAGAAAAAGGACTGGGGATGTAGCTCAGTAATACAGTGTTTTCTATGTGTACGCAAGGCCCTAGGCTCAGTTTCTAATGGGGGGGGGGATGGCTGTGAAATAAGGACGGCATGAATAAAGAAAAGCTTACAGGGCAAGAGAGCTTTTAAGATAACCTTTTTAAAGGCAGGGTTTCACTCTAGACCAAGTTGATCCAGAACTTACTCAAGCCTAAGCTGGCCTTGAATTCATGTCAATTCTCATACCTCAGTCTCCCAAAGGAAAAAAAAAATGCCCAACTCAGCTTCCTGAATGAATATTCTTTTTTCTTTTTCTGCCAAACATTTTAAGCAATGTGTTCTACCACTGAGCCATCCCCTGCTCTGTGTTAAATATCTTTGAAACATGATGAGAATTTATGGAAAAGAAAACTTCCCATGGTGTGCACCTATTTTTGTGTGTGTGTGTGTGTGTGTGTGTGTGTCTGTGTATATCTGTGTGTTTGTGTTTGTTCCAAGCTTTTTTTTTTTTTTTTTTTTTTTAGACAGGGTCTCCTTGTAAAGCCCCAGCTGTCCTGGAACTCACTATGTAGACCCGGCTGGCCTCGAACTCACAAAGATCCACCTGCCTCTGCCTCCCAAGTGCTGGGATTAAAGGCTTTTTAAAAAAGCTATTTTATGTTTAATTATATGTTGGGGGAGTATATGCACATGATTTCAGTTGTTCAAGAGGCCTTAAGAGGGCATTGGATCTGCTGGAGCTGAAGTTACAGACAGCCGTGAGCCATACCACATGGGTTCTGGGAACGGAACTTGGGTTCCCCGGAAGAGTAGCAAGCACTAGTAACCACTGAGCCATTTCTCCAGCCCCTGAACCTGGTTTTTGGCTGGTTTGTTTTTGTAGAGCTGTGTATCAGACTTGGAGCCTTGTGTATTTACACAAATGCTCTACCATTGAGCTATACCTCAGTCCTACGATATTGAGCTATCTTAAGAAGGATTACTATAGGAGGAACAATATCTTTTGCTATTATTGCACTACAGGGGGTTGAACCAGGACCTTCTATGTATTAGACAAGTGAGCATTTACTCACTGAGCTCCCTACTAAAACTGCCCACCATTATTTTCTGAGACAGGGTCTCATGAACTTGCCTAGGCTGATCTATAATTTGCAACCCCTCCTGCTTTAGCCTTCAGAGTATCTGGGATTACGAGTCTGCACCACTATTCCCAGCCATAATCGCCTTAGTGTATTGTGAATTCAGGTAACTAAGGTCCCTCAAATCTACATTATTGCCCTATCCAGGCCAGGATTATGCAGGAGTTTGTAACCCAACTTTCTGTCTTCTAGTTTTCATAACAGGAAAGTACATGTTTGGGACTTTAGAAAGCAAGGACTTCTGGTAAGAATTTTATACCACCTTAAAAAACTGCAAAGCAGGGGCTGGAGAGACAGCTCAGTGGGTAAAGAAAGCCCTTGCTATACAGGATGGGCCTGAATTTGAATCCCCAGAACCCATGTAAAGCCAGTGCTGTAATCCCAATGTTCCCACAGTAAAGTGAGAGATAGAGATAGGAGAATTCCCAGAGGCTTGCAGGCCACCTGGCCTGGTATATGCAGCAACAAAGCAACAGAGAGCCTGTCTTAAACAAGACAGAAAGGAAGGCAAACACCTGACATTCCTCTGGTTTCTACACATGGACACTGTGGCATCCATGTCCTGCACTCACACACAAATGTGCACACACATCATATACACAGACACATGTAACACACGCACATACATACACTCATGATTTTTAAAATATTAGAGGGATGGGGAGACGGCTCAGTAGCTAAAGTGTTGCCACATAAGTGTGAGGACTAGTGTTTGGATTCCCCAGGACTTATGTAAACACCAAGTGCAGGTAGCGGCCACCTGTAGTTCCAACAGCAGAAGACAGAGACAAGGAATCCCCAAGGCAAACTGGCTAGCCAGACTAGCTGTAGAGGTGAGTTCTGGGATCAGTGAGAGACTGCCTCAAACAGGGTGGAAAGCACTCAAGAAAGACTCAAACTATTGGCCTCAGGCCTGCACACATACATGTCCTAGTCAGCTTTTGTTTGCTGTGACAAAACACTGTGCTGGATAGCTTTAATGTCACTTGACACACCTGGGTTGAGGGAGCCTCGGCTGGGGAATTGCCTCTATTGGACTGGCCTGTGGCCATGTCTGAGGGGCATCTTCTTGATGAGTGATGTGGGAGGGCCCAGCCCACTGTGGGTGGTGCCGCCCCCCCCAGCAGGTGGGTCTGTGTTGCATAAGAAAGCAGGCTGAGCAGAGGCCAGGGGAGCAAGCCAGTAAGCAGTGTTCCTCCATGGCCTGTGCTCCAGCTCCTGCCTCCAGTTTCCTGCCCTGACTTCCTACCTTGGGCTCCCTGATGATACTGTGACCTGGGATATGTAAGCTAAATAAACCCTTTCCTCCCCAAGTTGGTATTGGTCAGAGTGTTTTGTCACAGCAATGAAGAAACAAATTAGGACAAACACTAACCAAAAGCAACTTGGGGAGGAAAGGGTTTATTTCAGTTACACTTCCAAGCCACAGCCCATCTTTGAGGAAGTCAGGGCAGGAACCTGGAGCAGGACCAGAAGCAGAGACCATGGACAATGCTGCTTACTGGATGCTCCCCCTGGTTTGCTCAGCTACTACTTCCCTTATATAGTCCAGGACATTCTGCCTAGGGATAGCACTGCCCACAGTAGCTGGGCCCTCCTACATCAACCAGCAATTAAGAAAACACCTCATAGACATGCCACCGGCCAATCTAATGGAGTTCCTTTCTCAACTGAGGTTCCCTCTTACCAGGTATGTCAACTGAAGCTAACCAGGACACATACATGCACCCCCACATGTGCAATCATGTACATATAATTACACATCATATACACATACATGTGAGATAAAAATATTGTAAAGCAGACCACTATGTTTTAGGACATGCCTAGGGTTCCAGATATTCTGAGGCAGGAAGATCACCTGAGACTAGGAATTTAAGAACTGCCTAAACAGCAGAGTGAGATATCATCTCAAAATTGCAAAGCAAAGACATCTAACATTACTCTGACCTTGCTACGGCACCATAGAAATGCATCTTGCTTTCCCTTTCTTTGCTCAGAGTTTCCAGGAGAGTTGAGAAAGAGCCTGACTCTTGCATCTCCTTCATGGTGTTTGCAATCACATCACTGAAAAATTGCCTGTAAAGAAAAACAAAAGACAAGTTCATAAAATACATTTCCCTACCTTCATAAAGAGTTGCAGAAGCTAAAGCTAACAGCCAGAAAGATCTGAGCATGTTGGTTCATGCCTGTAACCCCAGTTACAGTAGGAAGTCTGAGGTTGGAGGATTGCCACAGTTCAAGGCCACCCTGGACTCTATAGTGAGTCCCAGGGCAGCCTAGTCTATGGATTAAGACTTTGTCAGAAAAACAAAAGCAAGGGATGAGGAGATGGCTGATTATAGCACTCAGAAAGCAGAAGCAGGAAGATCACTGTGAGTTCAAGGCCAGCCTGGGTTACATAGTAAGACCCTGTCACAAACAAGCAAACACAGAAGGAAGCCAGCTGTGATGGCACATGCCTATAACTCCAGGACTCTTGAGACTAAGGCAGTAAAATCAAGAGTTAAGTCCAGCCTGGATTACACATCAAGATCCATCTTCAACAACAACAAAAACAAAACAAAATCCCTCAACCGGAAGGGACATCATAGCTAGGAATTATTCCAGGAATGCAAGAGTAGTTTATCATTAGAAATATATTAGAATGTCATTAGGCATATATTAAGACACCAAATTAATGAAGTGTAAAGGAGAAAAATCATATGATCACCTCAACAGATGTAGAAAAGGCATTTAGTAAAATTCAATACCCACTCATCACCTTAAAAAAAACAATAAAAACAATAAACTTAAAAAACTAGAAAAATGTTTTGTATCAAAGATCAAGAACAATATTGAGGGGCTGGACAGAGAGCTCAGCAGTTAAGAGCACTGGTTGTTCTTACGGAAGACCTGGGTTCGAATCCCAGCACACACAGCAGCTAAAGACGCCTGTAAATCCAGTCCCGGGGGCTCCGATGCCCTCTTCTGTCCTCCATGGACACTGCATGACATGGGTGCACTTACATACATACAGGTAAAACACTCATAAACAATAAAAATAAATAATAAAAAGAACAATATTGAATGACTAGTATGATGCCATGTATATAACATTTAAAACCATGTAAAGGCTAGGTGTGGTGGCGCACGCCTTTAATCCCAGCACTCAGGAGGCAGAGGCAGGCAGGTCTCTGTGAATTCAAGGCCAGCCTGGTCTACATAGTGAGTTCCAGGACAGCTGGGGCTACAGGGAGACCCTGCCTCAAA